TAGGTTTGCAAATGTGTATCAGACTGTGCAAAAAATCTCTCCATGAGTTGGTTTTGAAACCCAGTATAGTATTCCCATGGGATTTGGGAGATACATCACAAAGGATATTATTACAAGATAAATGATTTGCTTCGATTAACACATACAACAATGCATATTTCCACTGAGATCAGTGACCTTTGATGTGTATCACCAGTGATCAGTGAAGTAGAAACAGTCAAAATATTTTATCAGATTTTCTCAATTTTTGCATGATATTTTCATACAGGACATCTGTTGTTCAAACTCAGGGAAGACATTATACTGATGAATAAGCTGACCAAGTTTGATAAAGTTTGGAATAGAATTAGTAAAGTTATTATGCACACAATAACAATTATTAACGATGACAACGGCAAAATTTTTCCCTTAATATATCTTTCCCTTCCATCTTTGATGGTACGGGCAAGGTAAAAATCATGCTGCATTATGTTTCCAAAATCATGCCAAGACACAGATGCGAAACCGACTTAATTTCATAGTCTGTCCAGTGGTTCAAGGCCATTGTCCAAGTTTATGCTATACATTCACACACAAATAAGCAAATAAACATTGTCATTGCTGTAATCATTTTACTTTCAGTTTTCAAAATACAAGCCAAATATACATATGTATAAAATTAAAGTACAAAACGAAGCTGCCCCGTACATTTACAATATTTTGATCCACTGGTATTTGTTTTTAAGGCACACTTCTCGAAAGAAAGTTTCAAAACAACTGCACATAGAGTACATTTCAGAATGCTTGGCTGAATACTTGTGTTACATCAGTAGTTAAATAAAACAGTAACATGGATCACTGAGAATTATTTTTATTTTGGTAGCAATAGAAATGTATAATTTATTGTAAAATAAAGACATAATTTTGGCAGCAACCACAAACTTGTATATACATGTATATATCTGTATACAGCTAAGTAAGCACAAATGCATTAGCATTTTCATTACCGGTATTCCATTTACTTCAAAAATAGCATTTTTATTTTACAATAAATTATACCATGTTGTCTTTATCAAAATGCATCATCAAACAAAGTTGTTCAAATTTACTCAAAGTTATCCACATTGCATAAAAAAAATCTTGATAATAAATGGTTCATCACCATATGTTAATCTTATTCAGTAAAAATATTTTACTGAAATCCACCGTTAATGTAGTAGTGTAGTAGCTAATAATGCTGTCAAATCAGTTTGCGTTCGATCTCGAGATGTCTTCAAGATTACATTAAAGTGTGGTAGTAATTCTAGGGAAGCAAGGAAATAAGACGCTGCAATCATTGGTGAACAGAACACATAATGTGGTAGAAAGGAAGGAAGCAGTAACTGGGTGATACCATTTGGCTGGAGGAGGGGAAGGGAATTGATAAGGAGCAGTGAACAATTTGATGAGAATGTAATTACAGTGAAAACTACCATTATTTTGTCAGAGAGACTCTGTAAAGCGCAAAGACATTTTGGAATATTCCTGCTGAGAAGGTACACAAAGACGAAGCCCAGAGTTTAGTGAAAGCAAAGAATGTATTCTATTTTTAAAGAAGGAACACCCCCTAACCGCCACCCTCTCCCTCACCACCCAGAGAGTAAGATTCTTCAGCATCTTCCATGTTGGCTCAATCCACTTTAATCATGTTAGAGAGGCTAGCATATTGACAGGAAAGAGTTGCCAGCTTTAGATGAGTTGATTCATGGCATATATCTTTGATAACAGAATTTTGAAGTGCATCTTGGTTAATAGTTTGCAGAGTCGCTGTACTCTATGAACCTAAAAAAATGTGCTGTAAATGTAAAAAAAAAAATCACACAGAAATATAAGTTGAAATTATAGAACTCATCACACATCAAGAATAAAGATTATCATTTACACAATACAACAAAATATACAACATCAAAATTATTGGCTATCATATTTTACTATTGACAGAACTGGTATTGTTGAGTACAATATAATTGCACCACTGACCAGTCAGTGAATGAGTGGATTGCTGTCACTGTACACCAATGAAGGAATCCTAAAACAAAAGTATTATTAAAATCAAAGAGGTTTGCATTACATTTGCAAAAATAAAAAATACTTACATTTCGTCTTCATAATTTTTTGGTGGTGCCAATGCTATTACCAGTTCCAAGGTTCCCGTTCCCTGTTAACACAATGTGAGAAAATAAAAGAGAAGATTATTAGCATTATTCAACAAAACCCCCAAAAATTGTGAACAAATATCATTGCATTTATTGGCATTTTCAGACAACTCGAGAAAATTATCTCCAATCAAGTGAGTACGAACTGCAATAAATTCATAACATCAATGATTCTTGAATCGTCACTAAGAGTATCAATTTGATCGTTTACATTCAGATACTTTATGATGTCACTAACAATCAAAAGATCACACAGGGTCAACTAGCATGTCATGTGACAGCCAGTTCAAGACCGTTCCACTTCATTAGTATGCATTTTACAACAAAAAATTTGCGAATCTTTGTAAATTCTTGCTCACTCTGATCGTCATCAGCACATACTCGTCATCTGTGTATTAATCAAAATGGGACACTGAACAAAGGTTGTGTCACAGACTTTTTGCAGGTTAAATTTGAAATGCCAATACCAATGGTAATTGTCTATACCATGTCATAATAATCTTCATTCCTTGGACTGAATTTCCAAACACAATACTCACATCTGTATTTTTCATTGCATCTTTCAAAATCTCCTCAGCTTCAGCCAGTTTTGCATCAGCAGTTTTTTTGCCGTCCACCATCATAATCTGATCTCCCTTGAACAACCCACCTATAAAAATTTTGAGAAACCAGGACATAAAATTAGTAAATAGATTGTGTGTGAATGTATGGGCAAAAGCAGATTTAAGGTATTATAGGGACATTGCAGCATAGGTAGATGAAGATATATGGGTAATTAATACATTGTAAAACTTAACAAACAAACAAACACACATTCTATAAATACTTGAAATGAGTTTGTGAAAGCAATAACTAGGGTGTATTTGGGCTTGTTTGATCTTTGTTAAATTTTGAAGAGTATTAAATCTAAATAGAATAAAAAACATACTTGTATGACCAATATATATGTTATTAAATGTTGAAAATTTGCCAAAAAAAAGGCAACCAGCGAATCAATAATATGTTATAAATTCCGAAAATCTGAAACTAAGGTGTATATATATATTATCATGTTGTGTTTACTAAAATTGAACAAAATCCACCCAGGCTTGACCTATGTGCACGACAAAGGAATTCACAATTTTGAAATACAGTCGCAGCCCTGTGAAGGAAACCTACCATGTCTCCATGCGGCTCCACCTTCATATACTTCAGACACAACACATTTTCCAATAGGCGAGTCTAACCCACCCTCAATTAATATTTCCAATGGTCCATCTTTTTTAATTTTCAAAACTCTTATCTCTCTGCCTCCAATTTCTCTGTCTGTAAACTGAAAGGCAAGTGAAAAAGGAAATTAAGACACCATAATACAAACTTTGTAAGAGCCCAGTATTCAGTAACTTTTTGAATGCGAAAAGCAAACTAAATTGGGTTATTTTTTTCTGTATTTTTTCACAAAAAATGTGTATTTGAAACCTGTAGCAAGTGAGAAATATACCATTTGGTTCAAAACTAGCATTAAAAAAAATGGGAAAAATATGCTGTTTAGAAATTTATTGGTAAGAATGGGAATACATGTTTATTCATTATGGCCTAGCTAGGTAGTAAAAACAGTGGTTACAAGATATCAAGAATAATGTCATCTGTATTCTAATAAACATCCTTCAATTGTTCTGAAATATGTGTCAGAAACATTTAAAATTCTTACAGTTACTCTTACTCATACAATTACTTTGATTTTAATTTAATAATATGTATTGGTTTTAATTATTACTCAGTTGCGATTATAATAAGATACAAAATATTAGTTTGCTGGTTTGTCATGAAATGGAAGCAAAAATTGTTGGTCTTATGCAAAATGTTAACCGCCATGTTTGTTTCATGCACAAGTTACTTTTTCTCCCTCAAAAATACCAGGATGTGTGACCTTTAAGGTCATACATTTGGCCAACTGTAGTGTGGAATCTATATACACACAATGGTTTATTTTGTGATACAAAAACACATTTATAGATGCCAAGTCAGGCAACCAAATATTCAAAGACCAGGGATACTCTGATGTACTTACAAGCTTTCTGGCATTAAACTGCGAATCAGTATCATCTCTAGTTTGTCTGTTTTTAGCGTATGATTCACTGGTGAGATGGACTTTCATGGTGGATGTAAAATTTTGAGCATCAGTCTCTTGAGGTAAAACAGTACGCTGAATATGAAGTAAGTGTGTAAGCAATGATATGGTTGCTATGACAACAAACAATGATACATTTAAAACAATTTGCTATAATGCAGCAAAGCAACTAAAACTGCTAATGTATACACAACTGTAGCTACATAGTTGAAAGGTGGTAGTCGTCGTGCATCATGTGTTCGTAGTTCATGTGAACAACAACGTATTTTACACGCGTTGTGTACGTCGCGACGACCACCGCCCTTTAATGTTGTGAGTGAATTAATGAATGCACACAGATATACAAGTAGCTTAAGTAGATACACTCAAATTTACAACAAAAATAACTAAAAAAAAATGTCACGTACACCGAATTGTCTGTAAAGTCTCAGTAATTTTTTACGTATTTTCGTCACAAAACCAAGATAAAATATATGATCATCAAACTACTTTTTGCACAAACAGATCAAACATCCCTAAAAATGGTGAAGACATTTACATTTATTTCTGCAGTGAACATGTTACCTCATATTTTCGTTTGGTTACACGCAGTGAAACAATCGTATGTTGTAATAAAATGGATAGTTATGGTTTTAAAAGATTGGAATGATTAGAATTTTGAAAATCTGTTTTGTGCCAAGTAAAAATAACACTTTTGAAATAACATTGCTATTCATTAGGTTAAACTCCCACAAATAACATTGCTATTCATTAGGTTAAACTCCCACAAATAACATTGCTATTCATTAGGTTAAACTCCCACAAATAACATTGCTATTCATTAGGTTAAACTCCCACAAATAACATTGCTATTCATTAGGTTAAACTCCCACAAATAACATTGCTATTCATTAGGTTAAACTCCCACAAATAACATTGCTATTCATTAGGTTAAACTCCCACAAATAACATTGCTATTCATTAGGTTAAACTCCCACAAATAACATTGCTATTCATTAGGTTAAACTCCCACAAATAACATTGCTATTCATTAGGTTAAACTCCCACAAATAACATTGCTATTCATTAGGTTAAACTCCCACAAATAATCTTAAGTTCTCATACTTCAAGTGTAAAAGGTTTGTCTGTTGCAAACACGGTTAGCGAACAGAGTGTCATAACAACAGGGTTGGACTGAGTGATCCTAAATATTCAAAGATGGATCCAAATTTTATAATTATAGAAATAATATCATATTCTGTTTGCGATAATCACTGATAATTAGCAAAAATGTGATTTTTTGATTGTACTAACCTTTGACTCAATTTCCATCTGCCGTTCAATCTCTTCACGTTCAGCATTCCATTGGTCCTGCAATGACAATGACTTTTGGTGTTCGATCTGCTCCTGATGAAGACTGACTTCTAGCAACTCCTGAGCAATCATTTCTGATTCTTTATCCGTATCTACGGACGTTCGACTCACTCTCCTCCATCTCTCTTCATTTTCAATGTTTGTTTTCTCTTGTTTTTGTTGAGGTGGGTGTTCAACTTCCAGTCTCTGATGCTTCAATAATTCTTCTTTCTGTAACTTTTCTGCCTCAGCTCTGTAAAAATTAGAAGAAAAATATTAATATTAATTGAATATCATGTTTGTTGAGACTGATTCAAAAAAATGTAAACTCTGCTTCCTGAAGCCTATTTTTGGACATAATGATGAAACCATTTTTTTTGTGGGTGTAGAATGTGGAATAGTGCACTGGGTTTCAACTACTGTAGAATACTTTATTTTCGCTTGGAATTTATTTTCGCTATTTTCGCTGAAGGGATGATTCCGTGAAAATAAAATCCAGCGAATATACTTTTTTTCCTATATTTTCACTTTAAACTCATCCAAAATCAGTGAAAATAAATTCCAAGCAAACGCCCAAAAAGCCTTTTCAGCGAAAATTAATTCCGGCGAAAATAAAGTATTCCACAGTAATACCTCTCGATGTCTAATCGTTGCTGTTTTTCTCTTTCTCTCTCCAGAGCTAGTTGCCGTAGTTTCATCAGTTCCTCTTGTTCCTGTTGGTCTCTCTGCGGCCGGACAGATCTCTGGGGCTTGGCATATATATCAAAACCACTCTGTGATCAAAAAAGTTATGCAAATACCACATCAACAATCATATGCTTATTATTAATTCACAACAATTGTCAACAAATACTTAAAGCAAATATGTTTTGCTAAATTCCATAGATGGGCAGATCAACATATGAACAGATATAAGTATGGACAGACACACGTATTGACAGATACACACTCCCACACATGGACACACCCATACAGACAGACTCACACATGGACAGACCCATACACAGAAAGAACCATACACAGACAGACCCACACATGGACAGACCCACACATGGACAGACCAACACATGGACAGACCAACACATGGACAGACCCATACACAGAAAAAAACCATACACGGACAGACCCATAAACAGACAGACCCATAAACAGACAGACCCATAAACAGACAGACCCACACATGGACAGATGCACATAGAAACTCGCACATGGACAGACCCATACACAGACAGACCCACAGATGGACAGATCATGCACAGAAAGAACCATACAAAGACAGACCCATACAAAGACAGACCCATGCAAGAACAGACCCATACACAGACAGACAGACCCATACACAGACAGACCCACCCATAAACAGACAGAACCATACACAGACAGAACCATACACAGACAGAACCATACACAGACAG